TCCAATATTGAAAGATGAAATCCTCTGCAAATATCCAAAAAGGAAATATAAACAGCCTCCATAGGCGTCTGCGTTAGCATTCACACCTATACATAAGCAATTTATATCTCGCGTTCGGGACCAAATAAAATTTCCTCGTCACGGCCGTATCCACGAAATAATATTTCCCGGGTACACATATTTCCTCTTTGACAGAGGGTAAGGGGAGGGGGGGTCCCGGGCATTATTACACTGTACGTAATTCAATTCTGGTCGGGAAAAGGTTAGCGGGACTCCGGATTGTGCCGCTGGTTGTTCCCAACAGATTTTATTTAATATTCCCCTTCGGAATCCGGTATTAAGATGGAGAGTCCAAAATCTGATTTTTTATTACGTATATGTGTTTTACGTTTTAATTCAGCTGAAGCTATAAGAATATTCAGATCAGTCCATCGAAAAACAGATAGATAGATTGACAGGTACATATTGGCTTGACAGGGTGTAAAAAACTCGGAAGTGAGTAGGGTTAAAACAATGTCATCGCTTCATATAAACTTTTGTGATACGAACCTTCGTTATGAACCTCTAGAACAGGGGTCGTCAAGTAATTTTAACTGGAGTCCGGATACTTCTGAAAATTTTTAACGAGGTCCAAAAAAACTCATATTCCTTACTAATTTTTTATTTTAATTTGCACCCACAAAATAATACGAAATACAATAGATAGGAATATCTGTATTAAAAAATCAATGGGAGAAATTACATTTGCGGTCTTGAGTCAGTTTTTTTACTAAACTACTAACCATTAAAAAATGATATTGTCATCTATAGAAAATTATTTTTTAAATAATAAGTAATTATACTTTCAAAAAATGTTTGGCGGTCCAGTTTTTTAAAGTCGTTTCAAAATCTTATGAGCTTTGACCTTCATATGCGCAGAAACATAATTCCGACCGTCGCCTAAATTATTCTACGTCCTAAAAACATTACATCTATTATTCACAGTCTATCTCGAGCTCTCGTAGCGTAAACAAGCCTATTACAATTATAATACAATGCCCTATTCTTTATTATTTTAATTTAAGCAATACAAATATATATAACGAACGTTCGCCAGTTGACTTTATTGACGCCTGAGCGCCTTAGTTCATTTCTGGTTGTAATGAGGCACGTGGTCTAATTCTGAGTCAATGTTTTCACAACGTGCTTATTAGAAGAATTATGCGGATACGCCACGACTTTCGCGCATTTCGCGTCTCATGAGATTTTGAAACTACTCTACCTTGCGCGGTCCGGATCTAGACCGCAGTCCTCCAGTTGCCGACCGCTGCTCTAGAGTTAAAAATTTGGAACACTATTTTATTTATAATTTCTAAGCTATGCATTTGAATTTAATACAAATTTAAGTAGTGGTTAATAACACATTGTCCCTCAATGCCAGTGGCGGACTATATCTAATGGCACAACAGGCTTAAAAGGACATTTGGACAAATGCATGGCAAATTATATTTTTGTTTACATTTAGAATTGCAGGCATTCACCTCATGTATTATTCTTGTTAGTTGCACACTTTGTCAGTTCTATTGAATAAATTATTACCTAATTTGCTAAATTATGTAGCAGCTTTCCTCGCTCTTCGAAAATTATCATCACCTTTCCACTTTTTCCGCAGTTGTATTTTAATTAAAATAGAATAAAAAAATCAGACAAAATACCAACAAATTGCTTTGACACCTAACCTGACATTTATATACAAAATTATCTTTTAGCGGAAATGAAAGATGTAGAGCATGTTTATTAAAACAATCAATTTAGAACAAAAATTCACCTTTTTTTTCTAAATTTAGATACCGTCGCATTTAAATGTAGAAAGGGATATTGTGGTCGTAAATTGTGACTTCTATCTTTTCAGACAAGCCTAGTAGTAGAAACCCATCATATACAGGGTGTTTCAGGACTTGTGGTAAAAAACTTGGGAGTGAGCAAATGGGGTTAAACAAAACAAGTACTTCATATACTCTTTTGTCATACGAATACTGTCAGGGTTATTCTTCTGTATTTAGAACAGCATTCCCATAAGTCTATTCATTGGTTTATCCCTTTTTTGCGGCATTAAATATATAAAAAGTAACCCATAGGATTAACATCTGGAAATGGTAACTCCCTCTTTCAATCTATCTATTAGGAAATACGTTATATCTACCTATAGTACGATCGTATTCGATGCAAAGTAGAGCAAAAAATTGTCGGTCTTTTATCAAAGGAAAATCGTGTCATCATTTTTAGGAGGCGTAAGATGAACCGTTTCAAATTTAAAATGAAATTGAATGTAAAATCTGAAATACCGCCGCATACGCACTGTGTTCTGGTACTAGCTGTAGTCGGCCAGGTGCATCGAGTGTACGAAGTGGTCGGTTATACGTCAAATACTAACCTGGCGAGCTTGATCGTAGAGCAGGGAACAATAAACAGTGGCGCGTACAGAGGTGAAATGTAGTACATATGTGGAATTTAAATAACGAATTGGATTTATAATACATTACATTTAAAATAAATAGTTTATGAGAATAAAGGGATTTTTGTAGGAACAGGGTTCCAGACGTGAACTGATCTCTTCATCGCACCCCATTACGATTCTTTTTTTATAAGGAGAACGAAGTTTCAAAGCAAAAACCTTGTATAACAGATATACTATAAATATTTACAGAATGAAAACAAAATATAAATCATATGATTCTATCAAATGAAAACACTAACAACAATTCTCTACCAATCTCAACAAAATAAGTTATTTTTCTATCAAACAAGAAATGTTAACAAATTATAAACAAAATATAAATTCTATGATTTATGTAATGTACGCCGAACTGCATTTTTCTCATCTTCATTTAATAGTAATTTCTTCTTTCCACCCCCTTTTTTAGGTTTCTTAATGTCTCCTTCATTTTTCTTCTCTCTTAAAATTTTGAAAACAGATAATTCGCTTACTCCAGTATGTCTAGAACACATTTCCACCAGACCACTCTTCAGTTTCATGTGATGATCCTTTTCTAAAGGGTTATAGACATTTAATATTTAGATTTTTTGTACCCACAGCAGTACATCCGGCTCGCAAACATCCAGGCACCGCCTCTATTTCTCCATATAATGACAACAGAGCAATAATAATACAAAAAACTTCACTTCACTAGCACAGAAAATATAATAGCATTCACGGTTCACAAACAACAACCCGAAACACACACACAGCACACAAATAAAACACTAAAAACACGTTTGTTACGGAGCACAAGAAATATGATTTCACTCACAAATTCTCAAATAATAGCGCGAAACACACATATAGCCCGAAAGAAATATAATTGAACTTATAACAGTTATAACCTCACAAATATCGCGAGCGAGAAACACGCAGCACCAATACAACCGAAACGAAACTGACCACGCCAGGCTGGCACGCGCGCCGCCGCAAAAAACACAAGACACAAGTCATATGAGGGAGAATGAAGGGAGTAATAAATGTATTGTTGCCCTGCCGCCCAATGTGCGAAGGAGATGCCTTTGTTTTTCATTTTGTCCTTCATAAATATATAACTGTTAATCCATAATGCATAAAGAAATTATTCAATTTCCAAAACCCCCTATAAAATGTGTTGCACTGATTCCCTTGACAGGCAATGATTTATTACTTTGCATCGAATACGATCGTACTATATACAAAGTTGAGTACAGTGGCACAAAATTTAAAGGGAAGGGACATCATCGGGCATTTCTCCCTTTTTGTTTCATACTATTATGCAGATAGTTACATATATACAGGGTCAGAAAGTACCGATGGTCCATCTGCCGTTACGTGAGAGCGATAAAGTAAGACATAGAAATACATGCGATAGAGAAGGATGGCTATAATGAAGGCGTCTCATAGTCACCGCCCGTTTCGCCCTTCCACAAATAAGATCCAGTTCTTGTTTGTGGAAGGGCGAAACGGATTTCTATGACTTACTTTATCGCTCTTACATAACGGCAGATAGACCATCGGTACTTTCTGACCCTGTATTCTTATAATGTACAGAATGCAGTTACAAAATGGAAACGGTCTTGTCACTTTTTGTTTGAATAAAATCACATAAAAGAGAACCCGACCTTAAGCCAACCCTGTATCACATTGCAGTCACCCTAACATTTTCGATCTCTGGTTATCAGAAGCCAGGCCATATGTATGTTTGCTATGTATATTAACAGTATATTCTGCCATTATTATAATTAAAATAAATAATGAAGATGAAACCTGTTTTATTGTAAAATAACATATTACGTGACGGCATCCTGCGTGACAAATTGTATTGTGGACTAAATATGTTTTTCTAACTTTATACAATACGTATAGATACAACAAGAGACGGAAATCGATTATGATTGCTAAAGTGTTATGAAATTACAGTTTAGATTGTCTTTTTCAGCCCTTGATACATATTTATCTGGTAGTGATTAGCAACAGTTTGGTTAACATTTCTATCCCATTATTTGTTACATTATCTCTCCCACTATACAGAAAATGGCAAAGGCGCCCATATAAAATGGCGAATTTCTCATAAACTGCTAGTTGTATCGAATTCAAAGACGAGTGTATTTTCGCTGATTAATTTGAGGAACTTATATTTAATATTCCAATTTTCAAGGTGTTAACCTATTTCAAACAAATTCAGAAAGTGCTTTCTAAAAAATCTCAAAAAGTCAAACAATGCTATTTGATACTAGAAGTCTAGGTGTGCGAAACGTATTTAACCACTCAGGCAAGATCTCTAACTAGCTACAAAGTAGGTACCGGTACAAGGTGAAGGTATAACGGGTGTAAAATAGGATAATAATGTCCCAGATCGAACGACATATTTATTATGTAATTGACAATCACACTAGAATAGCAACTTGTTAAAAAGTACATTCAAATGCATTAATTTCACCATCGAAATGTCAAATTTGACACATGAACGAAATACTGAAATATTTGTTTTTGTTTTCAGGTATGAGGATCCTGGTGATGTTGCTGTTAGATACACTGCCCATGCTGGGCAACGTCCTGTTGCTTTGCTTTTTCGTGTTTTTTATTTTTGGTATAGTGGGGGTGCAGTTGTGGCAGGGGGTGTTAAGACAGCGGTGCGTGTTTAACCCAAAGCTCTATCCAGACGTGGAATGGCCTTCGTAAGTATCCAACAGATTTTTTTTGTGATTGGTGTCTTTTTCAGTTAGATGTGGTTTGGACATGTAAAAGTTGTTAATTCCTGATTTCATGTTAGAACTGAGACTGTGAGATTTGATAACTGTTATTTAGTCATACTCAAAAACTGTGACCACCGGATAGTTTTTAATTATAGAAATAATTCACATTTTCCATTATTTTCACTAAACTTTCCATTTTAAATTTAAACCAAATTAAAACTAATATCGAATTCGCAAAGTTGTTTCTTTCAATATTTTGGTTCAAAACTTAGTTTCTATAAAACTATTCAAATACTAAAGAGAAAATTAAATTAATAGATACAAACACTTCAGCCAACATGAAATCAAGGAAGATGTTTTTAAATTTTATTCCCAGTTGATAATATGCAAGAGAGCACAGTAAGGGGTAGAACACAAAAAAAGACCACCCACGTGCTTTCAATTTTTTTGTCAATAGCAGAACATTCCCAGTCCCATTACATACCACCAGTCCATTTTTAGACACCCCACATTTACTTGGATCTTCCCCGCCATTTTGATATCGAAACAGGCATGTCGTTTGCATTTTTAATTTTTTTGAATAATGGTTTTGAAGCCCTAACGCCCCCGTTTCATGGAAATTAACCCCCAACTTAACATTTCGGTTTGATGGTTTTGCTTCCACAGAGTCATCAAAAAATAAAACAGAAATATAAGGCGTATAAAAATTGAAGAAAGAATATCTAAATATACCTATATTAAATATCAATACAAAATATAAATAAAGTAAAAAAAATCTAAATCTTAATGACGTCCACATGTATATTTTTTTACATTAAGTAAGGAAAATGTGATACCGTGTATATTTCCCATTTATTTACTGATGGTTCTGTAGATCCATAGTGGAGAATGTACAACAAATAATGTAGGACACTGAGGGCACATTCATAAATCATTTGTTATTGTAATCCTGGTATTGAAAAGTCAATTTATGTAAAACGGTTTTCCGTGACATGTGGAATATGTGGCAATTGCACAGGTGGGAAATTAGATAGCCATACATTTGGGTGCAAATTTAACAATTTAAAAGCTACCAGTTGCATAATTACCGAAATTATCTGAAAATGTTCTAAATGACAGAAATTTATCCAGTGTAATGAAAAAATTGCAGTATTGTACGAGTTTATTTTAGTTCACGTTTGTATAGATATGGATGTCACAATTGAAATATATTGTAATACATTTTTGTTACAAAATCCGTGATTTCAGTTTCCATTCTGACTGCTAGAAACATAGAATTTTAATGATTTGGATTTGTAATCATTAGGGTGGCTCAAAAAAAAACGAATATTTTTTTTCGTGTCTCTTGTGAAAACATGTTAGTTTGTCATGTTTTCAAATTTTTTTCGAGGTCGCTTTAGAAGTGTTTCGTGATTTATTTCTATTCTTTTGTTCATCAAATTCAAAAAAAAAAAAATATTAGTTCGTTGATATTTATTTTTTTTAGAGGTGGCTCGAAAACATTTTAGGTACACTACTTTGAAAGTTAAAATAATTATGAGTGACCTTTAGAAATTAAAATATCGATTTGAAATTTTCAAAATCGATATTTTTTTCAACCTAGAAAATGATAAAATAAGGAGAAAAAAAATTTTGGAAATTTTTAAAAATCTTGAGCGACCTCTAAAAAAATAATTTTTTTTAACAGATTTTTTGAGGTGGCTGTTAAAACATGATAAACTAACATATTTTCACAAGAGACACGAAATAAAATATATTTTTTTTGGGTCACCCTAGTAATCATATATACAGGGCGTTTTGTAAAATTATACCATACATTCAGGAACTGGTAGAATATAAAAATATAAATTTTTTTTCCAGTGGACAGTGGACAGTGGAATCAAATATGATTTTTTTAAATCAAATTTTAGCTAATTATAATACTGTATTATAAATATTGAACTTAAATACAAATAATTATTCGAAGATTTTTTTGAAATCCGTTATTTGTTTTCGTCAATATTTTAGGTATCGCTAACTACGATCTTTCTCAGCGACATTTTAGAATACAATTTTTTGAGATTAAGCGTTGTAGTTTATTTTAAGAAATAGGGTACTTTTGTTCTAACTGTTGATTTGAGAAAAAGGCACTGTAAATTACATTCTGTTGAAATAAGAAATTTTATTAATCTTTTCATTCGCTAAATGGAGAATTATTATTTAGAAAACTTCGAAGTTTGACAGGAGTTTCAGGGAAAAAATTACATTACCAAGAGACTAAAATACCAAAAAAAAAAATTGAAGAAACCAGTGGGGTCTCCACTTTTCCAAAAGTTCCTGCAGCCACGTCCTTGGTGGTATATTAAAATTTTAATTTCAAAAATTGACTTCAACTGAGTTTAAATGTCTCAAATATGAAAATTTTGAGATAAAGAAATCAAGTTTTAAAATTATAAGCTATATGAATTAAAATACGTTTGCATGAAATTTTGTCCTAAAATGATCTAAGAAATCAACTCCTTTGATGTTTTAAGTTTTTTAGGAAACACCCGCTGCCAATATACTTTGGTTGTTTTTGACCAACGACATTTTTCCCGAAAACGCACCATTTGCAGCAATTTTAACACGACCATTTTCTTTAAGTAAAATTAAATTTTACATTCTGTCAAATTCTAGCGATATCTACAAGATAGTCGAAAACTCATAATAATGACTGATGAAATAATTTAGTAGGTATTCTCAAAAGCATGTTTTTACCAAATTTCAATGTAATATATTGTTTATCGAAAGAGGTATGTCTAGAATAGCCCTAGCACTTTGTATTTAGAAAAAAAATACAATAAGGTCAGGGTCCGTAGGGGAAACAATGTATGGCACCTTTTTTCAAAACACCTAGAATACAATATAATTTTTTTTACGATATTGACTATATTTTCGATACAGAGGAATAGCGGCTCTTCCATATAACTTTGATTTTTTTGGAAACCAATTTTCACTTAGAAGCAGATATGTAGGTACGTAGACAATTTGTCATTGCTGCTATTTGTGATATTGAGATACAAATTACCAAATTTCATCAACTAATCAGGAAGCACCAATTACTCAGAAATGCCAATAAAATTTCATTATGACAGTTGCTTATACTCACTCTTGATTACACGAATATCAATACGAATCTATTTAAAAAACTGAAAGACATTTGGTATATGGCTTTCTAATAGTTTTTTTAACTCTTGTGCTACTTTAAAAACTTGACAGACGTGAGAGAATAACACTGAATTTCCACTATAATGGAGCACAAAATATTTAACAATTCTCTTCATTACAGCAACCGATCTGCATCGAAGTAATATCCTTACGAAATTTTATAACGTGCCTCCGAAGTTTTCAAGTAACTGAGAAATATTAAAACTTGTAACAAGTTCTGAAATTCTTTTTAAAAAATTTCAAACTCTTCCTCGTCGACGACTTTGTTTCTATTTACGTGAAAGTTTTCAGAACTTCTTAAATTTCATATCGAAGTTCTACGGCAAGCTCTGAAAATGTCTCTATTCTCCATATTTAAAATATGTGGATGTTGAGGTACGGTAGGGGGGTGATTTTTTATTTTAAAAAGTTTAGGTTTTAGGTATTTTTATTTAAAAATAATAATAATTTATTATTATTACTGAGCTAGAAGATGTCAAAGTTGGTAAAGAATTATATTTTTTTAAATCTAGGTCCTATCAAAAAGTGTAACATAAAATTTTGATAGTGATTCTCCTTGTGAGATCCTTAAAAGTATATTAGAAGGTGACTACACTTTTTGTCTTTATTGATGAAATTACAGCCTCTTCACTAAGGCTTGCTGTACATCCATATGACACATACAAACATCCGTAGTGCAGATTTACTGCAACGGCCGATTTGATTTGTTTACAAAAAATCCTAATGCAAAATTGTTTAAACACCCTTTAAAGTTGTATTTATATTTATTACCTCTATGAGCAAAGGTAAAGCGATTTTCTTTTATTTCCTTTACCAAATAAATAAGAGTATAAAAATAAAACTAATAATACACCGCCGCTTCCACCACACAAATCTTAAAGTTTAACTAATATATCAGGTTTACAAATGGTGAATTTTAATAATAATACTGAGACTCAATAATGGTATTCCTTATGCGATTCGTGTTGTACATTTCCACTATGGCATTGCCCAGTTTGAATGGCGTGGCTTTGGTTTGTTCCAGGGAATTGCCGGAACAGTACGTTGTACGCGTGCCTTATACGTAAGATCACTTGCTGGCGGCTTGTTTGTGTGCTTCTCAGTGCGTGTAATGTGACATCTACCTCTACACCTATCTCACTCTCACTACTTCTCCTGGTATTCTTTAAGGTGTCTGCCAGATAAACAAGAAAAAATATATATGCCTAAATCGGAAAAATATACAAAATAACACATGTATACCTAGTAGGCGATGCAATACTTGATAATTTTACAAAAACCGGGTCAAATATTGGCACTTTGTGTGCAAAAAATTTTGTCATACGAGCCTTCGTAATTCATAATTTAATAAATAAATGGGGGCGTGTTCGAAAAAACGCTCCTTTACACTTCACGGTCATTGATGGCAATTTAAATGGCAATAATTATTTAGCACTGCTGCAAAATAATGTCGTGCGAACTTTGACAAACTTACGAGTATGTCCTCATCCAGCAAACCCACAAGTTTCAGAGAATATGATATGATTTCAGCAAGATGGAGCACCGCCCCCCCATTACCAAATCAATGTCCGGCAGTGTCTCAACCGAATATTTCTAAATCGGTGGATAGGGAGGCGAGGATCGATGGAATGGCCAGCACGATCTCCTGATCTGACACCATTAGACTTTTTCTTATGGGAATATGTCAAAAGTATTGTATACAAAACTAAACTCCTCGACTTCGCTGATTTAAGAAGACGATTAAGGCTTGCGGTTTAGATCGGTCACTCCTGAGATGTTGAGTAACGTTAGAAGAAATTTCTATTTAAGATTAGGATGTTGCCAAGATGTTCGCGGCGAGCATTTTGAATATCTCCTACATTGACATTAATGTTTTTTTTTTGCTTTTTTACATTATCAATAAATAAACAATATTACTTATTAGTTTTTGAGTGTTGTAGTAAATTTCTGTAATCAAATATATTTTTTTTAATGTTTATTTTTGCAATAAATCTGAAAACAGTTGAAGATAGGCATAGGACATTGTTCATGAAATACGTCTAGAATTTTTTGAAGAATCCAAAATTTGAATATACAGGGGGTTGTATTTAAAATAAGAAAGTTGGTATTTGCCACTATTACATAACACCCTGTATAAAAAGTTTTTGTTGAAAAAAATGCCCGACTAAAAATACCAATCGACGTGTCAGGGCGTTTTTTCGAACACGCCCCCATTTATTTATTATTGAATTTATTCCATTCGGCTGATACACAATGTTTACAATTTACCTCAAGGCCTGGGATACTCTGTATATGGAAATCGATTATAATGAACTATGAAGCCAAAATTGAAAAGAGCAATAGGAGTAAATGAAGCTCTATTTAAATGTTGTATACACATAAAGTTCAGAAAATAAAGTAGATAAATAGCATTTTTTTTATTTATCATATTTCACTAGAGTTCATCAAAATAATATTAAGTCGGAATGATGACGGCTTTGCTGGAAACTTCTTAATTAAAAATTTTCATACACTTATGTCAGCAATTCTCTCAAGCTTAATATAATGCGTGTTCTTCAAATGTTCCTCGTGATTTCTGTCTGTGGAGACTTATGAAATCTTTGGCATATATGTTCAGACGGTTGAATAATGAAAGACTTGAACTCGAAGGA